ATAATAACCGCAGAACCTGCTGAAGGACACGAGCTGCAGTACCGCTGCCAGCCTGTTTTACCCGCGAGCTGTGGCGCTCATAAACATTTCACATTTTACAATCATTATACATTAAGTAGAAATGTTACAGTAACTTTTTGTTTTGTCTTTGTGAGTGTTCATTTTGAAAGAGCAGACACTTGATATTGTATATTAACGATCTGATATAGCCTAGCACGTGTTATTAAGAAAGTGCTTGTTGTAACTATCATTAATGCTGGTCTCCTTTCATGATGGATCGGCTCTTCCCGTGGGATCTTCACCTCAGCACAGTAAGTTCATCACGAGTGAAATGAGATCTAATGGTGCCTGTGTCCCGGCGGTTACAGCAGTGGTTTGTCATGTTATTCCAGCACTTCTGGGGCCCGGTGGCAAACTGGGGCCTGCCCATCGCCGCCATCAGCGACATGAAGAAGAGTCCAGAGATCATCAGCGGCAGAATGACCTTCGGTACGTGACAAAACAAACAACAGCTTGTGCAACAGACGCATACTGTGAGGTCAAAGGAGGTGTTTTCACTCTTGTTTTAACAGCTCTCACCTGCTACTCGCTGCTGTTCATGCGCTTCGCGTACAAGGTCCAGCCCAGAAACTGGCTTCTGTTCGCCTGCCACTTCACCAATGAAGCGGCTCAGCTCGTTCAGGGCAGCAGACTTATCAAATACAAGTATGACACTTCTGATTTCTAATAGTATCTCATGTTTACCGTAAACATGCAGCTAGCCCATTTCGAGATGCGTAGTCTGGTTCTGTTAGACTGCAGTGTGCTCCCGTATTAACACATGATCTGCTTGTCGTTGTGCTCCTCAGCATGGAGAAGAAGATGGCCAAGTGATGAATGTGCACAGCGGTCACGGTCATGCTTTGGAGGAGACCCACGAATCTGTATTGCAACATCTGATCTGTTCTAACACAATAAATAATCATTCATATACATAGATGATTGGTTTTATGCTATTTTTCTCTGTTACACATATAACATTTCAAGCCTTACAACACAGCCTCGAAGGTTAGAGTTTGTAAGTAATGCAGAAATATTTGATTAATTTATTTCCATACATAATGCGATCAGTGTGTATGTTCAAAATGAATATGGAGAAAATAAAAAAAAATGTTATTATGCCTTTGCTTTTTTGAATCTGTCTGTCTGTCTGTCTATCTTGTCTGTCTATCTATCTATGTCTGTCTGTCTGTCTGTCTATCTATCATCTCTCTATCTTGTCTGTCTATCTATCATCTCTCTATCTATCTTGTCTGTCTATCTATTAATGTCTGTCTATCTATCATCTCTATCTTGTCTGTCTGTCTATCTATCATCTCTCTATCTATCTTGTCTGTCTGTCTATCTATTAATATGTCTGTCTATCATCTCTCTATCTTGCCTATCTATTAATCTATCATCTCTCTATCTTGTCTGTCTGTCTGTCTGTCTATCTATTAATATGTCTGTCTCTTCTGTTCGCCTGCCACTTCACCAATGAAGCGGCTCAGCTCGTTCAGGGCAGCAGACTTATCAAATACAAGTATGACACTTCTGATTTCTAATAGTATCTCATGTTTACCGTAAACATGCAGCTAGCCCATTTCGAGATGCGTAGTCTGGTTCTGTTAGACTGCAGTGTGCTCCCGTATTAACACATGATCTGCTTGTCGTTGTGCTCCTCAGCATGGAGAAGAAGATGGCCAAGTGATGAATGTGCACAGCGGTCACGGTCATGCTTTGGAGGAGACCCACGAATCTGTATTGCAACATCTGATCTGTTCTAACACAATAAATAATCATTCATATACATAGATGATTGGTTTTATGCTATTTTTCTCTGTTACACATATAACATTTCAAGCCTTACAACACAGCCTCGAAGGTTAGAGTTTGTAAGTAATGCAGAAATATTTGATTAATTTATTTCCATACATAATGCGATCAGTGTGTATGTTCAAAATGAATATGGAGAAAATAAAAAAAAATGTTATTATGCCTTTGCTTTTTTGAATCTGTCTGTCTGTCTGTCTATCTTGTCTGTCTATCTATCTATGTCTGTCTGTCTGTCTGTCTATCTATCATCTCTCTATCTATCTTGTCTGTCTGTCTATCTATTAATGTCTGTCTATCTATCATCTCTATCTTGTCTGTCTGTCTATCATCTCTCTATCTATCTTGTCTGTCTGTCTATCTATTAATGTCTGTCTATCTATCATCTCTATCTTGTCTGTCTGTCTATCATCTCTCTATCTATCTTGTCTGTCTGTCTATCTATTAATGTCTGTCTATCTATCATCTCTATCTTGTCTGTCTGTCTATCATCTCTCTATCTATCTTGTCTGTCTGTCTATCTATTAATATGTCTGTCTATCATCTCTCTATCTTGCCTATCTATTAATCTATCATCTCTCTATCTTGTCTGTCTGTCTGTCTGTCTATCTATTAATATGTCTGTCTGTCTATCTATTAATATGTCTGTCTGTCTATCTATCATTTTGTTCTTCACACAAAGCTATCAAAAGACACCAGAAGACATATATAACTTGTATGTTGTTGTCATAATGGAGATAATTCAATTCATGTGGAAAAAAGCCAGGATATTCTTAAAATAAATTGTGTTCCATGGAGTAAAGCCACAGAGCTTTGGAAAAACACGGGTGAATGAATGATGACAGGACTTTCATCCAGCTATGAATGAAATGTGCTTTCCACAGAAACACAGACTTGTCCAGACCAATTTTTTACAGAACATTTAATATTTGACAAACAAATACATTAACACATTTTAAATATAAACTAACTTGCAAGTGATCAAACATTGTTAAAAGAATACATAGAAAAACGTGAATGTTACTCAGTGCAAACATCAGTAAACAAATCGCAGTTTCAGTTGGTGTGGTGTGGTAATCTGGCTTCATTTTTATTTTATTTTTTTCATGTATGAGAAATCATTCATTTCAACTGTAAGTTCAGTAACTAAGAGTGAACGAATCAACGTTTTGCAACAGTTTCATAAGTCGTCAGCAGTGATGGTGAGATTAATGGGATTCCCCAGGACCAATCCCTCATCTTCATCCTCCTGCAATGAACAAATTGTCATTATATTGTAAAAACAATAGTAATCCATGTTTTGCAGTCAGCTTTTTAGAAGGAAAACACTTGATGTACAGGCTGAATCATGGCTAAATGGCATGCAGCACCAAAGAGCAGTTACTCACCTCATCTTTTTCTTTGTAGTCTTTCTCTGTGCCTCTGTACGATACCACATGGATGAGGGTGTATACTCTGTAATGGGAAATAACAGGGATTCACGTATCAAATAATCAAGTTCCATACATGTGAGTGTGTGTTTGTACATATATATGTATATAAAAGTAGATCGATTATTCAGGTACCAATGTGGCAGTACGTGATGTGAGTACTTTACCTGTGGTAAAGCATAGCCAAGAACTGAATGATGAGCAGAACGGCGAAAGACAGCAGAAACATCAAACTCAAAGGCTCCACCCTCAAGGGGTCTGGTGCCAAAGTTCCGTTAGGATAGTACTTTGGAATATTGATGCTCAGAACATCAGTGCCAATGGCCTGAAGGAAGAACGTTGCTACAACCCAGAGGACGTTAATTATGAAGTACAAAAACACTGCCTGCAAAACGAGAGAGAATAGTTCTCATTTAGTAAATGAAGTTACAGGCCTGGACAGATGAACTTTTTCATTTGTCAACCTTACCTTGTTCCGTAGAGACTTGAGCTCCCGTGTCACTTCCTCGAGATGAGCTTTGTCATCTTGTATGGGTAGTAGATAACGCTCTATCAGTTTCTTCCAGAAATCATGTTCATCCTGGTATAATAGGGAAACATATAAAAGACTTTACAGTTTGGGTGCAGTCGGTCAGTTAATTTAGCCAAATACATTACTTATCCGTTTATAATCTACTGAAGCTTTTCACAACATGATTAACCCAAGTAAATCTACATTATTTTTGATTATAGTTGATCTTGGAACAGTATTCCTGCCAACCAGTTAAAGCCAACCTAAGTTTATACACCAAAACCAATTCCTAAGCAATTCCTACTCATAACTGGTGGTTACGATTGGTGTTCCAGGCCCTAACCTTAGCCTTAGCCCCTAGCCATCAACATGAGGCTGGTATAACGCTAACATCGAATACCTCTGAAATTACTTAGCGTGATTTGACGAGTTTGGACATGTTCTTGGATCAACTTCCTTGCTGTTCCTGGAATAAGGTTCCTACTAAGCAATCAGATTTTAGGTGCAGGGTTGGCGTTAGGGCAGGGTTGGCAACTGTAGAGTTTAGGTCCAATCATAGTAAAACAAGCTAATCAAGGTCTTCAGGGTTATTAAAACTGTTTCCCAACCCTATTCCTGGAGGCACCCCAACTCTAAACATTTTTCAACTCCTAATCAAACACACCTGGGGCCTGTACCATGAAGCTGGATTAGCTGGCTAGCCAGGCCTGCGTTCAGCCCCGACAAAACGGTGCTAAATGTTTTTTAAACGGAAACGGTGGTGCGTTGAACACTCTTCTGATGATGTAAGAGTTGCAACTATGGAAGGCCATTCTTTGTGTTCTTTTTGAAGAATTTTCGGAGCCTGATGAAATCGGTATAAATACGTGTTTAATACTGCAAAATACGCTCGATGTTACAGTCACTGCCCTTGCCCTCCAGAATAAAAGAGAACATCCCAATCGAGTGAAGGGATTTGTGGAAACTGTGGTTCCTAATTATTGTGATCCAACATTTGCCTCGCATTTCAGGATGAAAAGACAAACATTTCAGGTGAAGGATAATCCACTTCTTACCTCCGAGACTGTGTTATGATCTATATGACCTTATTATTTGTATTGTGAGTATTAGGCTTATCATTATTGCTGATCACTGTTGTTGTGCTATGATATTGTAATATTTACCATTATATAATCAGAGGGGTATAGAAAAGTTTATGAAAGTGTCACTCCATAATACAATAGCAAAATATATAAATATGTATGGTTATGTTCTAGTTTAGAGATCGCAAACTGAAATTTGACCAATCATCTTCAAGAAAAGTGACACATCTCTGATGCAATAGAGCCACTCCCCCAGTTTCTCTTGCTCCAAATTAAAGGGCACTACATTGTAAAACATTTTTAAAGATAAAATCATCAGGCTTTTAGTGATGATTATTTATGATAACTATATGATTTATATATTTATTATAGCCTTAATCCATTACACAAGCCATATTAAAATAATAATGATTAATCTTTTATTTTAAATGAATATAACTATATACAGATAATATAGAATATAAATAAGCTTTAGAATTAAAGGATAAAGCTTTAAACATGACTACATTTGAGTCTCTTTATACCTATATATATATATATATTATCAACTATATAAACTAACTTCACAAGTTTCACTTGATATGGCAAGATGTTTTCTTTTAGTTGTCCTCTTTCACTGACAGCTCTTTCCACCTTGCTGTGTAAATGTATTTAAATTAATATTTTCAATTTTTTAATCTATGGCAGTGAATTGCGAGAAGTGAATCACAGTTGAAAGGCATGTGATTGGCTGTTCATTACTGATGTCACGCTTTCACGTGCACGAGCTTCATTAACTCAGGATCAAAGCCTGAGTTGACAGAGAAAGTTGATGGTCAGCATCATGGTACCAACAAAGCCAGATTGGTTTGGTTTTGTCAACTCAAAACTAATCCTGTAACCCTGAGTTTGTTCAGCCACTATCATGGTACAGGCCCCTGAATCAACTCAACAGCTCATTAAGAGACTCCAATATCTGCAAAGGATGGGTCAGATAAGGGAGACATCCAAAACGAGTACTACTGGGGGTTGGCCACCCCTATACTGGAAAGCTACAGACAGGCTCCTCATTGCAGCTAAACTCTGGACCAGAGTTGCCCAGCCCTGGTTGCTAGGGGGTAGTTTATGGTTAGCTGGAGTTAAGGTAAGTGTTGTGTTTGATGCATTGATGGGAATGGAGATCCAGGAACATGTCCTACTTGTGTAAATCTCATCAGAACATCAGCCATCCAAAAAGCATTACCTCAGATAGCTTCTCAACCTGTGGAGCCACAAGTGTTCTTTCGATTGCCCTCTTGACGCGTCGCTCCAGTCTCTGCGCTCCATTCTCGATGCGGTTGGACTTCACGATGCGCCTGGCGGCTTCATTCAGGGCATACTGCAGTTCCTCCAGCTGACTCACACTCAACACGTCCTCGGGACCCACTTTATCCCTCAGCTCCTCGTTCAGGGTGTCGGTGAGAATCGACACCAGTTCCTCGCACAGATCCTCCTTGTTCTTGTTTCTCAGTGTGTATCGGATCTGCTCCTGAAGGTTTCTCTTCAGATTTGCATACGTCAGTTTCTTCAGGAACTCTTTCTTCACGGGCTCCACCCAGTCTGTCCGTTTGAATAAGAACGACGTAAAAACAACGATTCAACGCACAGACCAACTCTACACCCAGAATAGGGTACATATAAGGAGTGTATGCAGTTTGAATCAGAGATTCTCATTCCATTACTAATCTGAGACACCCATTTAGTTCATAAAACACTGTACTGACAAGATGATCATGAATTAGAGCGATACCTGTAGGAATGGATCGAAAAGATGTCATCTCTTACCACTCTCAGGCACAACATCTTTTGGCTCCAGAGTATCGTAATCATTGTAATAATCATCATCATCATCATCATCATCGTCGTCATCGTCATAATCTGTGTCATCATTAAATGGGTCGTTTTTTTTCTCACAGCTTTTGGAACTCCCACTGTAAGATTAATTTGAAGCAACCGTTGGGGAAAAAATAAGAATGTTTCTGCTGCAATGCAAATGTAATCCAAATACATTTTCATATTCTTTACCTTCTATCAGAACAAGTGTCTTTTTCCTTGTAGTCCTTGTTGAGATTCTCTTTG